AACCGATGCATCGTGGGAAACTGGCCCGAGTCAACGGTGGTCCCATTCCATTCGCATGAGCATTTCCCTGGGAACTGTTTGACGTCCACTAGTCAGTCGGTTAGGTTTAACTCTACCAAGACAATGTCTGTTTCTGGCCGTGGGACTGACGTATAGGCTCATAGGGAATGCACTTGTCATTCGTTGTATCATTCTTTACTTGTCCACGTGTGCTCGGACTGCGGTGCGCGTCTCGGCTGTCGTCCAGCCTCATGCGATGATGTCGTATTCGTATTTCTACTTTCTCTGCCTACCTCTCCTACGCACTGTCTCAGCCGTGATTTCCTCCGATACTGCGCTGGTAGCAGTACTACTCCTATCAGTATATGTATCTCTAGTCTGCTTTTCCTCGTGTTGCTGTACTTGTCTGCATATGCTGTGTGCCCAGGGGGCTCTACTCCCGGGCAGCCGCGTCGGCGAGAGAGCTTCTCTACTCTGATATACTTGATCCGTACGAATGCAACCCATACACCACAATTACATGTCTCCGAATTGAGATCACATTTCTTAGATGCACACAGGCACTCACTCACTCTCACTCACACACACAGAGACACACAGACTCACTCACGTGCGCATGAGGACATCGCGGTCCAGCTGTGGGGTGGACGCCATGAGCTGGCTCACATAGTGGCGACACAGACCAACACAAACACACACAAACACGCTCACACACACACACACACACACACACACACACACACACATTGCCGTGCAGTGCAACGCAGGCTGGGCGCGGGAAGATCAACGTGAAGCGGCGGGTTTATCGCGAGGGGAATGACGCAATTCGAGCCATCATCGACAAGGCCCTCGCAAAGACACGTGAGCTGTAACAGCATGTACCAATGAGTACAGAGAAGGAGAAGGGAGGGCCGGAAGTGTGTGGAAACCGGGATGGAAACGAAGAAGAGGGAGGAAGAAAGGCCATCGTGGGCTTGCTCACATTCTCTCGCAAACACACGCGCGCGCACTCACATGCGCGCACGCGCACATACACGCACGCATGCACGCGCACACCACATGCAGGAGCAGTACAACACCATCAGCAACAGTCGCCGTGCGCGTCTAAACGCGTTTTACGGCCACGGAGCCGCCCCACTACCGCACGGCGCCCAATGTCGTCACGGCAGCCACGCCCACTGCGACAGCATGACGCAAGCAGCGCACGGGACGGTGTGGGACGCACATCACATGCAACCCACGGACATGCGGTGAGGCAACAACAGCAACAACAATTACAACAACTACAACAGCAACATCATCACCAAGCGCCCGTTGCGAGTGCGGATGTGCGATTGAGGGCCGTTGCAAAACCGCCAACGCTGTCACCGCGCTCGTGCAGACGTGGCCGCACCCGTGATGGTGGTGATGGTGAGCAGGGTGATGATGGTGGTGGTGATGGTGGTGATGAGAATGGTGACACGGGTGGTGGTGGTGGTGACGACAGCGGTGGTGGAAGTGATGATGAGGACTATGCTGATGATGACGAAGACACGGAGGCCCAGGATACAATTCAACGACAACAACAGCAGCAGCGGCGGCGGCAATGGCGTTCAAGTCAAAGACAAGCTGCTCTTGTTCGTCCTCCACCAAGTCTCCAATATGGACAGCAGGACCAGCTGTTGTCCCTCCGACCAACGCGCGTAAGCACCTCTGCACGTGGTGCTGTGTCTCTCTCTCTCTCTCTCTCTCTCTCTGTGTGTGTGTGTGTGTGTGTGTGTGTGCGTCCTCTTGGCTTCTGCGTCCATGTCAATCAACCCCAGTTCCTTCCCACCCTCCCCCTCTCATCATCATCATCATCACCATCACCACCATCACCACCACCACCATCACATCCCAGTCCACAATGGACCGCCGCCAGCGTCTGCCGGATAATCGATTACCGGTACAGCGACATACGAACACACTTCTGGGATTGATGTGACCGTACTGTCGTTGTTTACTTGCAAACACCTGCTCTAGATAGATACACACACGTACAACACAACAACGCACACGCGCACATACGGTCCCTCATTCACATACACTCACGCGCTTCTCGCTGGTTCTGCTCATCAGACGACATCACAGCAGTTGCACGCACGCGCAATCCTGACAAGTGCATATGCACCCCGACTGAGGTGAAGCGATAGGATGATGGTGAATCTTGTTGCATGAACACACACACACACACCCCCCACACGAGTGCAAACCACACACGCACGCACCCATGCACTTACACTCACACACACACACTCACTCACACACACACACACACACACACGCACACACACACACACACTCACTCACACACACGCACACGCACACACGCACACGCGCGCGCGCACACACACACACACTCACACACTCGCGCTGCAACCCCTCCCCCCTCCCTCGCTGACTTCAGACCACGCCGCACGTCGCAGCCTGCCGATTCGCTGCGCATCAGCGGATATGGCGGGAAGCCCGCGTCGCAAACCCACACCAGCACCTCATCGTTGTGATGCGTTGCAGCACATGCTTCTTGCTCGCTCGCTGTGTGTTTGTGTTGCATCACAACTTGTGCTGTTATTATTTGCCTCCCTTGTTCTCCCACTGCTCTCTCCCTCTTTTTCTTCTGTGTACACATCGATACAGACTTCGTTGTGTACTTGCCAAATCACACACACACACACACACACACACACACACACACACACACCACGCGCGCGCGCGCGCAAGGCTGAGTGCACGCACACGCACAGAAGGCAGGAGCAGCGGCGATGATGAAATGGCCGTGCTGTGAACAGCAGCGAAACCGCAATCGCGTGCCCACCCCCTTGATTCCGTCACACACATGTGTCCTCGCCACACATTCTGCCGCAGACACAAAACGCACCAGCGCCACGTAAATGTGACACGGGCGTGTTGTGGACGCGACAAAACGAAAAGGGGGGGGGACGGGGCAGGAAGACGTGGGAGGAGCGATGACAGGGTAGGGAGTGGGCACGATGGCAAGCACAATGAAGCTTGCACGCCATGCATATGCTTGTTCCAAGCTGCTGCCCACAAGCACGATTGTGCCTGGGCCACCGCAACAAGCGGTTTTACGACCCAAGGCAACGCACACCGCCACCATCATGGCACCACTGCACTGCACCTGTCACGTGGCAGAACACAACATCAAGGCGTGTGGAGGTGAGGAGGTGGGTAGAGATGAGGTGAAGAGTTGACTGACATGTCACCGTATGGATACGTGCCAGCAACAGTCACACAATACAACACGACACGACACGACACAACACAACTCAAAACGAAGCAACACAACAGATCAAACACGATACAACACAACACGACACAACACAACACGAACAACAAGCGTGTTGAAAGAGCTTGGGCATGTTAGTTGGCTGCAGCACGAAGGCGAGCGCTGCGCCGCGTGCCTGGCACGGCCGGTCGCTTCGCCGGCGCCTTCTTGGTCTTGGCGGTCGTCTTGGCCTTCTTGGGCGCAGGCTCCTCCTTCTCTTCCTCCGCAGCAGCAGGAGCGGCTGCCGTTGCCTCGGCCTTGCCCGTCTTGCTGTCGTTGTTGTTGTTGGTGGTGGTGGTGGTCGTGCTCTGCTGCTTGCTGTCCGCGGCGACATCTGGGATGCCGCTCACACCGCTGGTGACGGCGTCCATGACCTGCACGATGAGGTCGTCCATGTCCAGTGCCCTCAGCGGCTTGAAGGGCCTGGGCATGGAGAGGAGAGAGACGATGGTCTTGCCGCGCACCGTCACCTCGAAGCTGCCCCGACGTGGTCGCTCCCCGTTCACGACCACGCTGATTGTTTCCCCCGAAGAAAGTTTGTCTTGCTGTGCAAGCACAGCCTTCTCGAGCTTTCCAGCCCGAGACTTGAACACGCCTCAGCTGCGACATGCCTCAATGTACACTGTGGAGGCAGGGAATTGTGGTGATGGTGGGGGGGGGGGAGGCAGTGTGAGCGAGACCAACGACAGCACACAGGCAACGAGCATGCTTGTGCAAGCACAAAGCAGAAACACGCAACAACAAAGAAACACAACGTGTGTGGAAAGGCCACGCGCATGGTCACACCTCACCAACACACCAACACCAACACCACCACCAACACCAACACACCACCAACACCAACACACGAACCGTCTGCGGCCTTCTTGGCTGCAGCCAGGGCTTCAAGGTCAATCGTCTTGCGAGGTGGCATTGTCGTCGTGGTGGTCGTCGTGTGCGCACGGTGCAATGTTCAGTGGTGGATGTGGAAAAATGGTTGAAAATAAGGCAACTATTCCGCAATGAGGTGGATGTGGCTGCCTGTGCTTTTGGATGACTCGTGACTCGTGACAGGAAGCCGGGTTGCAGTTCGCCAACCGATGGGAGTAGGAAGCTCTGCTCTCAGGCACTTCAGGCACCGTTCTCATGCGTGATCTGGACCCACTAACATAGACGTTCGTGCTTGTCCCCGTCTCTTCTCCCTTCTCTCTTCATTCAACCTTGACTGACTGCTGCTGTTGTGGTTCTTGGTTTGTATGTGGTGCTGAATAAGGCACGTGCATGATGGTTAAAGCTTTCACGCGAGGGTGGCAAAAAAACGAGGTGGAACAGTAAAACATGAGGCATGGGAAGGGTAACACCAGCACACAAGACAACCAGAACACAAAAGAAACACACAAGTGTGCATGTGTATGTTCGGGTGCGTGTGATGTGTGTGTTTGTAATGCATGTGTTTGTGTGTGTGTGTGTGTGTTTGAAATGCATGTGTATGTGTGTGTGCGTGTGCGCGCATGCGTGTGCGCCTTTGTCATCCCTCGTGTGCGTGTGCACGTCGCTCTACTGAGCCGGCGGGTACTGGCGCATGCGCGTGACCTGCTGGTGGATGCCGTGCATCTCAGGCTTGGTCTGCAGCACGCCCTCGATGCGTGCAAGCACGTCCGGCGTCAGCTTCTCAAGCACCTGAACACACGCCACGCGATGCAACGCGACGTCATGCAGTGTGAGGTGATAGGAATGCAATGTCGTGTGAGTGTCGGCGGAGGGGGATGCTGAGGTGATACGTGAGCGGCTCAAAGGGTGGGGGGAGGGGCACAGAACAGACATACACAATCACGATTCCCACCACCACACAAATATAACCATCACCACCACACAAATATAACCATCACCATCACACAAATAACATCACCATCACCACAACCACCAGCAGCCGACTGCCGCACCTCGAGAGCAGCGAGGTTTTCCGTGAGCTGGTGGACCTTCGTGGCGCCCAGCAGGACGGTGCTCACGTGCTCGTTCTTGAGGCACCACGCCACCGCCAGCTGCGCCAGGCTGCACCCAAGCTCATCCGCAATCGGCTTCAGCTCGTCCGTCCGCGTAATCTGGTATTGAGGGAAGGGGGGAGTGGTGTGTGTGTGTGTGTGAAAGTGTGTGTATGTGTGTGAAAGTGTGCGTGTGTGTGTGTGTGAAAGAGTGAGTGAGAGTACGAGTGAGAGTGTGAGCGTGAGTGTGAGTGTGAGAGTATGAGTAATAATGTGAGTGAAAATGTGTGCAATGTAACAAGCGAGTGAGCGACGCTGTTCCAGTAACACCACATGCATTCATCAAACCGCGCAACGATCCAACGCTCAGCCCACCATCAGCGCGTGCTCACCTGCCAGTCCGAGTTGCCAAACTTGCTGTTCTTGATGAACTCGTAGCTCTTGAGCGACAGGCGGGAGCCCTCGGGAATCTGGTCGTCGTGGTGATTGATGGCGGTGATGATCATTGATGGTGGTGGGTGGTGTTGTGTGTGTGTGTGTGTGTGTGTGTGTGTGTGTGTGTGTGTGTGTGTGTGTGTGTGTGTGTGTACAACGCAGAGAAGCACAGTTGTATTTATCACACACACACGCAAGCATCACACACAGCACATCCCACATCAACCTCGAAGCACACCTTCTTGCCCGAGTATTTGCCCGTGAGCACGCCAGATGCCAGTGGGCTCCACGTGGTCAGGCCCGTGCCAAACTGCGAATACAGCGGCAAATATTCCATCTCTACGCGCTGGCGCTCAAACATGTTGTACTGCGGCTGGTCGCAGATGGGGCCAACGAGCCCAAGCTTGTCGGCAACGCGATGGGCCTCCGTAATCTCCTGTGCACCGCGCGTGGCATGCGAGAGTGTTTATGTTCGTGCGTGTATGTATGTTCATGTGTGAGCGTGTGAGCGTGTGAGCGTGTGGGCGTGTGAGCGTGTGAGCGTGTGAGCGTGTGTATGTGTGTGTGTGTGTGTGTGAGCGTGTGTTTGCATATGAATCACAGCACACCTGCCCATGGCGATCATCACAATAACGCCAGCATGGCACCGTGCCCCACCCCCTTCTCCACAAGCAAAGACGACAGCACGCCAGCACCTGGGCAGACCACTCGGAGGTGCCCCAGTAGAACGCCATGCCGCGGTCGAGGACGTGGTTCATCGCCCGCACCTGTGCACAAACACACACACACACATATATGTACACGCACATATGCACACATATATGTACATACACACATATTTACACACACACGCACACATATATGTACATACACACATATGCACACACACATATGCACACATGCGCACGTACGTATGCACGCATACGCACACGGTGAGCAGCAACAGCAGGAGCGGAAAGGGGAGAGGTGTCGGGTTCGTGCATATATCAATGCAAACCACAGTGGAACGAAAATGTCTCAAGCACCTCCAAAAGTGCCACACCACTTCAAACCCAGTCACAGCAAGCTCCAAGAAACAACACCAAAACGAAACACACACACACACACACACACACACACACACACACACACACACTGAGCACATGCTCTCCTTCCAACGCGTCTTCGTAGCCGTCATGCATTTACCGTCTCCTCGATTGGAGTGACGAGGTCTGGGCGGTGGCAGAACACCACGTCGACGTAGTCGAGCTGCAGGCTGGCGATGATGGATGGTGGATGGTGGTGATGGTGGTGGTGGTGGGGGGTGGTAGTGGGGGTGGTGGTGGATGGTTTGTAAGTTGGGGAATGCATGGGCGCCTGTTGTCCACACACACACACACACACACACACACACACACACACACACACACACACACACACACACACACACACACACACACACACACACACACACACACACACGCACACGCACACACACACACACACACACACACACGCACGCACACACACACACACGCACACACACGCACACACACACACACATGCACGCACGCACACACACACACACACACATGCACGCACGCACACACACACACACACACACGCACGCACGCACGATCACAATCAGTACTGTTACGGTTACCGCTTGAGAGAGGCGACGGTGCCCTCGACGATGTGCTTCCTGCTCAGACCCCGGGCGTTGGGGCCGTTCTGCACCACAACCAACACACCGCATGATGTGTGGAGTGGAGGGGGAACACGTGAGGAAAGTGTGTGTGTGCGCGTGTGTGCGCGTGTGTTTGGGAAAGGAGAAGCAACTTGCACCATGTCGCAATCGCAAACACACACGCACACACACACACACACACAACCCCAAAGCACGGCGTTACATTACCTTGACACCGAAGAAGATCTTGGTGGTGACGACAAGGTCGGAGCGCTCCCAGTCGCCGTTCTCAACACCCCGCTTGATGGCCGCACCCATCACTTCCTCGGCCTTGCCGGAGGAGTACACCTCCGCTGTAGGCGTGGTTGTTGGGGCGGCAAGTGGAGATGATAAGGAGGTGAGATGGGAGGTGAGATGAGAGGTGAGATGGGATATGATAAGGAGGTGAGATGGGAGGTGGGAGTGGTGTTTGGAGGCGCACGCGATGTGATGCTGAAGGCGCCAACACGAACGAAATGTGGAATGGAAGCGAAGGCATAACAGCGCACCTTCGCGCATACTCTCATATGCAGAAATGTGTACACATATTACATTCATGCACACACACACACACATACGCACCGTTGTCGAAGAAGTTGACGCCGTTGGCGTAGGCGAGCTTCATCAGCTCGTAGGCCTCGTCAACTTGGATCTGTGAGAGAGAGGGTGTTTGTGTGTGATTGTGTATGTGAGAGACAGAGAAGGGGTGGGAGAGACTAAAACTAAGAACGCACACACACACGCGCACGCATGCACGCACAACAAACACACACACACACACACACACACATAACACAAGCACACACACACACATAACACAAGCACACACACGCATACACACATAGCACAAACACACATAACACAAGCACACACACACACATAACACAAGCACACACACACACACGCGCGCGCGCGCACGCACGCACGCACAACTCACCTGGTTACCAAAGGTGACCCAGGCGCCGTAGCTGAGGCGAGACACACGCAGGCCACTGCGGCCAAGCGTCGTGTAAGGCATGAGCTGCGCAACGTTCTTCTCCTGCAAGGACAGCACAAACAACCCGTGAGGTGGTAGTTGGCTTGCTTGCTTGCTGGCTTGCCAGCTTGCTTTCTGGCTTACTTGCCGCACACATACACAACAAACTCAACAACACGCACACACGCACACACACGCACACACACAACCTCAACCACACACACACACACACACACACACACACACACACACACACACACACACACACACACACACACACACACACACACACACACGCACGCACACGCACACACACAACCTCAACCACACACACACACACACGCATGCACACAACCACGCACATACCGAAGACATGGTGCTGGTTGGCTGGTCTCAGGCAGACAGGAAGGTGTTTGTTTCACTGCGCTTGGAGTGGGTGATGATTGAAGTGCAATGCAGTGCGCGTGTTTCTTTGTTGTGTGTTTTGTTGTGTGACAATTTCTTCTTCTCCTTTGTTTTTGTTGTGTTGTTGCATCTCATGATGAGATGATGACGACGACGGTGCACTCTGACGACACGAGTGCCTGTGCTCTGACGCTACAAGCCACAGAGCACCAACTAACGTGCTCTCACAGTCGCAGCTCTACTGTTCTTCCCTTTGTTCAACGAAGCAACAACGACTTTGCCTTCCTTTCCTTCTCGCTCGCTCACTTGATTTAAGCAAGCCAGCGACAGCAGAAAGCAGGTCAGAGAACACACACATCCACACACGCACACATGCACACATGCACGCACGTACACGTGCACATCAAATCACACGAATCAAGCGTAGTGACACACAGCAACACCCCAAGTGCGAACGGTTGGGAACGGAAGCATGCAAGCAGACACCAGAAGGTCACACACAATATGGTAGGGAACACGGAAGCTGAAATCAGAACATGCCCCCCCCCCATACACACACACACACACACACGCACACTCCTTTCCCCCCTGCATCAGAATCCAAACAGGTCCATGCTGAGCTCAGCCAGGAGGGCGCGGCCCTTGCCATCGTCGGGGGTGTTGCTTGCAAGCACGGCGTTGGAGGAGCCAACAACGTAGACCATGCGCGCCGCTGCGTCCACCGCAATGCCACCAACCGTCTCCGCGCCCTCCGTCTCAACAAACTGCGTGTGGACGTGTGCGCCCGTCTGCGCGTCAAACGCCAAGACAGCCACGTCGCTCTCCGTCTCCGTGGCGCGTGGAGCACCAGCAAGGCCGCCCTCAATCAGCGCAGCGACATACACCGTCCCGTTGGCAACAGCAACGCCCGCACCCACGTCCGTGCCGCTGCTGCCAACAAGCGCCGTCCACACGACTGCCCCGCTGCTTGCGTCGACGCGCACCACAAACACGTCCGAGCTGCCCTGGTTGACAAGCGCATCGTCATCGTCACCACTGCTCCAGTCGCTGAACGACTGACCCACCACAAACACGTCGCCCGTGCCCGTGCCCGTGCCACCGCCGGCACCACCACCAGCACCATCATCGTTGTCGTCATCCACAGCGAGCGCCATGGCGCGGTCAATCCCGCCAGTGCCCAGGTGCGTGGCCCACGCCACGCTGCTGTCGTTGCCTGCAGGCACGAGCCGCACAACAAACCCGTCGTCACGACCAAAGGCAGACGCGCCGTCCGCCACAGGGCCGTTGCTCCGGCCGGAGACAAACACGTTGCCCGTCCCCTTGTCCACGGCCAGGCCGCGCCCGCTGTTGTAGCGGTTCGAGCCAAACACGCGCGTCCACAGCACCTGCCCCGTCGTGGCGTTGCGTGCTGCCACCACCACCTCCGCATCGCTCGTTGCCGGGCGCGTCTGGCCTGTCGCGTACACAATGCCGCCGTGCACCGCAACGCTCTCGTAGTTGTCCACGCCACCAAGCGAGCCAACCTGGCTGCTCCACACCACCGCGCCCGTGCCCGCGTCCAAACGAACGGCAAACGCATCCTCTTCGCCGATCAGTGGCCCATACAGTGAACCCTGCGTGCCGCCGCCAACAATGACGTCACCGGACGCCTCGTCCACCGCAACCGAGGTTGCGTAATCGTCCGCGGGCGTGCCCAGCTGCGCGCTCCACAGCAGCTCACCGCTCTGCTTGGAAATGTGCAGCACAAACGCATCCCTGCCGCCGCTGTGCGAACCGCCGGCAACAGCGCCTGGGGTGCCGCCCACCACCGTGACCGTGGCCGCGCTGCTGCTCGTGTACACTGCCGTTGCCTCGCTCTCCGCCGGCAATTGCAGCACATCTGGCCACGCAGGCAGCAGGTCGTCCGGCAGCGTCGTCGTCGTCGTCGTTGTTGTTGTTGTTGTTGTTGAGGGGAGGAGTAGGGTGGTGGTTGCGGTGCCTGCCGTTGTTGGTGCTGTGCCGGTGCCAATGGTGGTGGTCGTTGCGTTGGTGCCGTTGGGTGCGCCCGCCGCCGTGTTGCGCCCCTGCGCACCGCTCTTCAGGCGAATCACGGGGAACACAATCGCCAGCACAGCCAGCACGCACAGCGCAGCCACAACATACGCCCACCGCAGGCACATGGGGCTGCCGTCGTCCTCGTCATCATTGTCGGCTGCATCCCGGCTGCTGTCGCGCGACCCCTTGGCCAGGGGATAGTGGCTGCTTCGCCGAGACTCCCGCCGGTCCCGTCCACCACCGACCCCACCGACACCAATACTGCCACGACGTCCGCCACCGCCGCCGCCAATGCTGCTGACGCTACTGCCGCGGCGGGCGCCACCAGGGCCCACGCTGCGGGCGTCGTCGCTGTACGTCTCGTCCATATCCACCGACACAAACGTCTGCAGATCAATGGGTCGGCGCAGGTCGGTAGGCAGCGCACGCGAGCTGCGGCGCGGGGCTGGCGACGAGCTGGCAGACCGCACGCCCTCCCAGGCCACATATGGGGAGATGGAGCCCCGGTGCTGGCGCTGGTGCACGGCACGATACAGCGGCTCGGGCGTCTTGCGGCGGACCGCGGGGGAGCGACGGAGGTCAGGCATGGACCCGCGCCCCAGGTTGCTCATCGCAAGCCCCCCACGGCCAATACCGCCCCCGCCATTGTTGGTGCTGCTGGCGGTGGTGTTCGGGCTGCTGGCCTTGCCGCCGCTGCTGCTGTGGTGGTAGTGCACGGGTGGCACAGCCAGGCTGCTGCGCTTTGGCCGCGGCGACCGGGGCATGTTCGCAAGGCTGTCGCTGCTGTTGCCAATCCTATTGCCGACCTTGAGGATGCTTGGTCGGCGCCAGCCAAAGCTGCCCCTGCGCGCGTCACCGCCACTGGCTGTACTGCTTGCTGTCGTCGTGTCGAGCGGGTGTGGCCTGCGCTGCATCCCCGGCGACGGGGCTGGGGAGATGAGAGCTGACACGAGGGACCGCGTACATGCACTGTCAGACCGCGACCGCTGGCGCCCCTGCACGGCCGGCGACACCCGGCGCAGCTGTGGTGGTGGTGTTGGGTGTGGTTACATGTGTGTGTGTGTGTGTATGTGTGTGTTGTGTGTTGAGAGGGAGGAGGGAAAGATGAAGAGGTGGATGGAGTGGGATGAGTAGAATGGGCGCGGGTGCAAGATACGAAGACAGAGAGAGATCGGGAGGGTGAGAGAGAGGGGGAGGGTGTGGAGGTGTGTGTGTGTGTGTGTGTAAGTGTGTGTGCTTGCAAGACCGGGATCGAAGGTGGTATTGTACCGTTGTGCGTGCAACGCATGCGCACGATGGCGTCTCACCTCACACTCTGACTCACTGACCGTGCACGAGAGTGACTCCTTGTCGGCGGTGAGGTGCTGCACAACATCCTGCAGCGACGTGCATGTCTTGGACATGGTGCGCCCGTCCAGCATCACCATGCCGTTGGTCCGCTTCAGGCTGTGGTGCTCCAGCTTGCCCGACGTCCCCACCTGTCGTGGAGTGTTGTGTGTGTGTGTGTGTGTGTGTGTGTGTGTGTGTGTGTGTGTGTGTGTGTTTGGGGTTGTTGTGTTGTCAATGCGCGTCAATATGTTGGAATAAACAGCAACAATTGGACAAATGAAGAAGAGCAGCCAACGACAGACAGACACTCGCATATCCGAACACATTCACGCACACGCACGCATACACGCACGCACGTCTTTCTTCCCACCATGCTGAGGTTGACGTTGCCTGTGGTCTGGTTCTCCCACATGAGAAAAGACCCGGGCACCTTCTGTCGCTTCAGCATCGCCTCTGCTTGCTCTTTTGTCGCCGTCACAGACGGTTTGAACTTCTTGGCTTCCTCCTCATCATCGTCATCATCATCGTCGTCGTCGTCGTTGTGCCCGCCCTCATCATCGCTGCTCACAAAGCTGCGGATGGAGGGGGTTGTTGTGGCACGCGTGCTCCTCCCATCACCACCATCCTCTTCATCATACTCCGCAGGCCAGACAATGCTGTCGACACTGATGATGCTTGGCCGCTTCGGCATGGCGGATGACGCGACAGACGATCTGTCGACAGAGACCTCCCGCGAGCTGCCCTCGGCACCCGTGATGACCACATCAATGTACTCGTCTGGCGCGAGCGACAGCCGCTGCCGCCGCGTGCCGCCCTCATCCTGTTGAGAGAGTGTGTGTGTTTGTGTGTGTGTGTGTGTGTGTGTGTGTGTGTGTGTGTGTGTGTGTGTGTGTGTGTGTGTGTGTGTGTGTGTGTGTGTGTTGTGTCAGTGCGGAGTCGGATGCAACCTGCTATGCGAAAACAATGTCAGCACAAAAAAAGAAGGTTGAGCGCCAACATCGTCATCACATCCAAACACACACACACACACACAAAAGCAAAATCACAGGCACACACCCACACCCACACGTTCGCTCGCGTACAACGTACGCACTCACAAAGTGCACGTGTTTTGACTCTTCGCTGTGAAACAGTGTTTCCTCAATCTGAGAGTCAGGCAGGGATTTGCGAAGACCGGCTTCAAGCTCGGCCATGACCGGTAGCGGGATGGTGCGCGTGCCCGTGGCCGTGTTCCAAAGGACGTGCTTGACGGAGGCGTCCAGGCCCATGACAAAGTGCAGCGTGCGCTCATCTGTCGATTTGGCGCGCGGGTTGACGAGCTGAATGGCAACAATGGGGCTGGTCGCGCGGGCCAGGATGTCGTAGTGATCAAGCAGGTGCTCTGCGAGCGCCTTGGTGTGCATGAGCACGATGAGTCCAAAGTGATCAGCGTCGTTGAGCTCCAGCAGCTCCTCCACGTCCTCCACGACGTCAATGGTACGCACGGAGTAGTCGCGAGACTCCAGTTCCACCTTCAGGGCCTGCGTCGCCTTCAGGCCATCCTTGGCCACAAACCACACGCACACATCTTCATCCGCACTCATGGCGGCGGTTGTTGTTGTTGTTGTTGTTGTTGTTGTTGTTGTTGTTGTTGTTGTTGTTGTTGTTGTTGTTGTTGTTGTTGTTGTTGTTGTTGTTGTTGTTGTTGTTGTTGTTGTTGTTGTTGTTGTTGTTGTTGGTGGTGGTGGTGGTGGCGGTGGCGGTGGTTCGGTGAGCAATCGTCGTTGTTTGGCTCTGTTGATGTTTGCAGGTGCTGTTGTTTGCTGTCAACCAAGAAAGAGCGAGCGCTCGTGCTCTCGACGCGTCTGCGCTTCCGGTCAACACTTAAACTGAGACAGGAACGTCTTCGCTCTTCGGAGAAACAGGTGCTCGTGCAAGACCGGGATGTACAGGGGGCTGCGCTTGCTGCGTTTTGCCTCGTTTGAATGTACTCTGCTGTTGTTGGTGGTGTAGTGGCAAGGGAACGAAAGCAACAGGAGGGAGAGTGAGAGTGAGCGACGAACCAAAGAGCCGCAATGCAATCGAAGAAACAAGGGAAGCAAAGATCGGCCAACAAGCAAGCCCACAACGCACGCACGCAAAGCAGGCAAAGCATCCCTGCATCCCTTTCGTCACTTACAACATGTCGTTCATACCAGCTGCCCATGAGTCGGCTGCCTGCACCATCACGGCACAGCACGGCACAACACGGCACAGCACAGCGTGCCACGGTACCATGTCTCGGCCTCTCGTGACTTTTTCGGCGATGGGCATGACATGACGTCACAATCACCTCACAGGATCAAACGCAAGCAAGGAAAGCTAGAAAGTTCTATCCCTGTTTGTTCTCCAGGGGGTACTGTGTTTTGCGAATTGCACGGTTGGCCAGTTTCAAGCTAGCGCAATTCGCAACAGACGTCAAGGCATGGCAACTGAATTCAGTCTGTAACTAAAATCACACAACACAACCAGCGACACACCCACCATCACCACCACCACTTCCTCTCATCGCCTTCCTTCCCTCCCCACCATTGGAAGACGATCGCACCCAGCCAACCAGCCTGCGAGCCAGCCAGCCAGCCAGGCAGTCCACCTTGCTTGCTTGGCGTTGGGGCGGTCGTTTCCCCTTTGCACGCTTGTTGTTGATAGCCGGGGACATTCGTTGTCCTTCCCTCTCTCGCTCTCTTGCTCTTTTTTTGTTTGCCGCGCTGTTGTTGTGTGGTTGGTCCCCGTTTTGGTGACGAAGTGCTGTTTGGCGTGAAAGTGGGGGTGTGCCTGCATCAGCAGCAGGAGCATCAATCAATCAACCAGCGACATGGTGGATGCAGCCACCATCGCCGTGGTGGCGGTGTGCGCGGTTGTGGCCGTCATCCTGATCGTGGCCATTATGTTCTACCTCTACACGCTGGGCCGCTTCCGGCGCTCGCTCGAAGAACTGGACGACGCAGAGTCACAGAAGCAGCAGCTCAGCAGGGAGAGCTCGCGCAAGGCCTCATCCTCGGCATCCAGACGCGCGTCCACACACGACGTGCGTCGGCCTTCGTACCTTCAGGATGACAACAGCAACAGCAACACCACCAGTACCACCAACCAGGAGCCTGCACGCCGCAAGAGCACCGCATGGGACACCCCTGCCAACGCTGATGGTGCAACAGGCATCTCCTCGCTCTCGCCCCCATCGGCAAACAGAAAGTGCGCGCCACACATGCATGCGTCGTCGAAATAGCTCGGACTTGTTCGCTGTAATTGTTGTTGTTGTTGGCTGCTGTTGTTGTGCGTGGGGCGTGGACTGCGGGGCGCTGAAGGCTACATACGTTCGTGCGCCTGTTGTTGTGTCCGCTTTTGGGTTCACGTGTAATGGTGATGATGATGTTGTTGTTTTTGTTGCTTTTGATTCAGGGCCACCCAATGGAATGTCCCATCTGGTCACATGGCCAACCAAGAGTCAGTTGCATGGATGTATCTGTGTGCGAGTGCATGCAGAAGTTTGCATGCATGTGTGTGTGCGTGGGGGGGGGTTTGTTGTTGTTCGGCGTTGTTTAGCCTCTTGTCGTATGTCTGTTCGTTTGTCTGTCTGTTGTGTGCGTGTGCATGTGTACGTGTGTGTGCGCGCGTGCCTATGTGCATGTGTGTGTGCCTCCGTTTTTGTGTGTATGTGTGCGTCTGTGCATGTGTCCGTCTATTCCATCCGTATCCGCCCCCACATCCAACACACACACACATCCATCCTCTCACTCCCTGATGCTCACTTCATATCCACTCACTCCTGCGCACGTGCCACGTTGTGTCAGGGCGAGTTCTGGTGTTGCGGAGTTTCTGGAACCAATGTCCAGTCGGGACTTTGCTCTCGGCGCCCCGGCCCTTCCAGACCAGGAACGCGAGGTGAACACAAACAGAGGGGATGGAAGTGGGTCTTTTGCGTGTGTGTGTGTGTGTGTGTGTGTGTGTGTGTGTGTGTGTGTGTGTGTGTGTGTGTGTGTGTGTGTGTGTGTGTGTGTGTGTGTGTGGGCATTTGACTGTATACTGCACCCGTGTATTTCATTTTTCGCACGCCCACACGTCACCCAACTGCTGAAATACACTCACTCATCCACACGCACACACACACACACACACACACACACACATACACACACACATACACACACAATCACACACGCGCGCGCGAACAGGTGTTTTCCAATCCGCTCTTTGGAATGGACGAGGCAGAGTTTGAGGACGACTCACACAACACCACCAACAGCACCACCATCAACAACAACAACAACAGCAACAGCAACGCCGCAACCGACAGCAGCCGTCGGGAGAAGCGCAGTGGCAACATGCTGCATCGACACGTGACACGATGGAAACCCGCGGACACGGATGACGTGCGGTTACTGCTTCTCTTCGTGTGCATGCATGTGCTGATGGTGATGGTGGTGTGTGTGCGTGTGGTCATGGTGGTGTGTGTGCGTGTGATGTATGTGCACGTGATGGTGATGGCGGTGGCGGTGGCGGTGGTGTATGCATGTGGTGATGGTGATGGTGGTGTGTGTCCTCCGATGTAACGTGTGCTGCTCGCTGTCTTGAGCGTTGCTTGCATTCTCATCGCACACACACACACACACACACACACACACACACACACACACACGCACGCACCATTCCTCGTTCTCTGCGGCCCTTTGCTCCAGTTGGATGTGCTGTATGGTGACAAGTATGTTGGCACAGACCTCCGTCGTGTCATCCCTGTTGCGGTCGATTGGGGCGTGGACGACCCATCCTACTACCCGACAGCATATACCGCAGCGTCCGTGCTTGCAGGCAGAGAATGGGCGGATCCCGAGGACACGTCCCAGCTCAGGTGACTTTGCCACGTGTGGTGATGCTGGCTGTTGTTGTTGTTGCTCGTTGTTGCTTGTTTAAGTTGTTCTTGTTGTTTAAGTTGTTTGTTGGTTGGTTGGCTGTTGCTGTTGAATGATTGACATGCGGTTGTTGTTCGTTATTGTTGAGTGATTCGGGGGGGGGGGGCAGCGGTGGCCGAGGATGAAGATGAAATCATTTAGGCTTAGTTGTTTGTCCATCATCACGGCTCACACAACACGGTGAACCATGCTATCACATGTGCCATGAACCATGAACCATCCACCATGAACCATCCACCATTGCCACCACCACGATGCAGATTCAATGCCATTGACGTTGTGAAGGGCAAACGCGTGAACCGCATTTCGCACCACGGCCAATACGCCGTTGTCGACGGACTGCCCCTGTACGCGTCGTGGTTTTTTGCGATTGTGTCGTTGTGCGTTTGCTTGTGTGTGTGTGTATGTGTGTGTGTGTGTGTGTTTGCGTGATTGATTGTGTGATCGAGTGGTTTGTACGTTTGTTTGTTTGTGCGATTGTGTTTGTGTGTGTTTGTGTGTGTTTGTATGCATCGAACGTGTCACGCATCACTCACCAATCACCATCACGTATCACCCCGTATCATCACGTATCATCACGTATCACCACGTGTCACCGCTGCCAGGAATGTGCGAGGGCGGACGGGCATCCGTGGCCGCGGCGTGCTCGGGCGGTGGGGGCCAAACCACGCAGCAGACCCCGTTGTCACCAGGTACGCAGCGCTGTCGTGATGGGCGCTGGTGGTGCGTGATGATGATAATGATGATGATGGGTGGTGATTGGGAGGATGTGGCAGGCTTGGACTTGCATGCAAGGAGCAATCATGCCGCTCACACACAACACGCACACACGCACACACACACACATACACACACACGTACACACACACGTACACACACACACGCACACACACACGCACACACGTACCGCATGATGGGCAGGTGGGCGTTCACCCCCGAGGGGGATCCCGTGTACCGCAACGGCAAACGCGTGCTGGAGTTTGTGGCCGTTCGACGCAGAGACAACGCCATGCTCGCATTTCCCGGCGTACGTGTGATGGTGATTGATGGTGGGGATCGTGCCCTGTTCAAAGTTTAAAGTTCACGCGCGCATGAACACACACACACACACACACGCACACGCACACCGTTTCACTCTTCTGCCCACCACTTCTCATCCATTCATACATTTGTGTGTGTGTGTGTGTGTGTTCTAGGGTTTCGTTGATCCTGGCGAGCGCGTGAGCGAAACGCTGAAGAGGGAATTCAGCGAAGAGGCACTCAACTCATTGCAGGTGATGATGATGGTGGTGGTGGTGGTGGTGGTGGTGGTCCTTGAATCGCTTCGCTTTCCCCTTGCGCGTGAACATTCACATATTCACACACACACACATACACACGCACTTACACATACACACGCACTTACACATGCACACGTACACACACTGACACACACTGACACACACTGACACACACACACACACTTACGCATACACACACGCGCGCACGCACACACACACGCACACACACGCACACACACACACATTCACACACACACACACATACGCACACACACACACACAAAACGGGAAACAAGATGTCTGAAGCGGAAGTGCGTGCGCTGCGCAGTGCTGTGGACGGGTTGTTTGCTGCCGGCAGCGAGGTGTACCGTGGTTACGTGCACGACGACAGAAACACGGACAACGCATGGATTGAGACCACGTGCGTGCTGTATCATGACGCAAGCGGGCATGCGTTGGGGAACTTTGCCCTCAGCGGCGGCGATGACGCAATGGAAGCGCACTGGGAGATGGTCCGCAGTGATCTCACCATGCACGCCGGGCACCACAACTGGCTCGCACTCGGTACGTCGTGGCGATGTGGCAGTGGTGGTGGTGCCAGTGGTGGTGGTGCTTTGTGAGGAAGGTTTTACTCGCCCGACACAAACTCACACTCACTCACTCACACACACTCTTCAACACATGCACACAAACACACTCTCACACACACTTTCACACACACACTCACCCCCACTCTCTCACACACTCTCACACACACTCTCACACACACTTTCACACACACTCTCTCACACACACTTTCACACACACTCACACACACACACACACTACATCACCACACCTCCCCCTCCCCCCTCCTTCACCATGTGTGCAGTTGCGCGCAAGCTTGGCTGCTTCTGGTCTGAGGAGCGCGGTGCCGACGACGTGGAGGTGTCGCTGCCCATGGCGGCGAGCGGTGCTGCTGCAATCACCAACGTCATGTTTGCGCCCTCCATGCCCGGTGCCGCGAGCGGGCAGGGCGCGGGCGGCACCAGCCTGAACAGAACGCCAACCAACAGCGTGGACAATTTGTCCACCACCAGCGGGAACGAACAGGCGCGGACGCCCCAGCACAACGTCACGGCGGCAGACCTTGCAAGGTTCACAAAGGGGCAACACAGCCGAGCAAACACGACGTCATCAGCAACAACACGTGGAGGAACAACAACAACAACAACAACGGCAGCAGCGGCAAGCAATGTCACTGGTGACGACAGTGGGTTTGAGCGTGTTGGCGGACGCGTTGCTGGCATGGAGGGCGATGTTGATCTGGAGATGGACGAGTACAACGACACACAGGCCAACAACACCTTACGCCGACAAGGTAGCACACAAAAGGCTGTAATGTCGCGCGTAGACGTGTGCGTATGTGCATTTGTGTAAGCTTGTGTATGTTGTATATGCTGTACTTTGTGTGTGTATGCTGTAAATGTGCACTGCCTGTTTGATCGCGGGTCCACAAGGCTGACACGGATGTGCACATGCACACGACACACACACACACACACACACTTGCACACGCCCTTCTTACCTCTACCATGCGATGCACAGACCTCGCTGATGTGCATGTGTGGGCCGAGGAGAACCAGGACGCAGTTGAAGATGTGCAAGCCGTTCTTGAGCAGTACTCAGATGTCATTGCCGTGTTCGACGCAAAGGTACAAGCCACCCACAAACAGACCTATGCGTGCTTATGCATGTGTTCATGTGCACGGGCAATTGCGTGCAATCTTGCATGCTTGTGTGTGCTTGTACATGTGTGTGTGCATTTGTGTGCATTTGTGTGCATCATGTACATGTACGTTGGACAGTTCCGCTCACATTACCTGTGCTCCGCCCTGTTTGCAATTGCCACCCCTCTCGGCCCCTCGCCCCTCTCCCTGCGCAGTATCTCGGGCACGTGAAGACGACCAACCCCGGCGGCAACGAGGTGGTGGAGGCGTGCATCAAGGTTGTGCGGGAAGACAAGTCACGCATGCAAGGTAACGCCACTTGCGGTGGATTGGTGGATGCGGCAGGGAGGGGGGTGACAGGCAGCGCTTGGGTGACGTGAATGCGATTTCCGTTGACGCACTTGCACAGCAACGTTTACATGCGCGAGCCTACCCACTCACTCACACCTTCACGCACACACACGCACATATACATACACACATGCAAACACACATACGCACACGCACATACGCAAACACACACACACACACAAACACACACACACGCACACGCGCGCGCGCGCATTGGTAGGCGTGGTTGAGCTTGAGATCAGTCCCCGCGGAATTGTCATCCAGCGACCGGCGACGAAGGGTGGAGAATCTGTGGAAATCTTACGCGATATTCCGATCAAGGCCATTTCCTTTACGGGCGTGGATCGCACATACAAGAAGCTGTTTGCATTCATTGCCAACAACAGCGAGGAGGAAGGCATGCTCTGCCACGTGTTTCAGTGCAAATCAAAGGTGGGGCGTGGCTGCAGGCGCTTGCTGTGCGTGTGTGTGTGTGTGCGTGTGCGTGTGCGTGTGCGTGTGCGTGTGCGTGTCGTTGTGTTGTGGCTGCGGGTGCCTTTTGCCCGCGTGCCCGATTGTATGAGTAATTGCTGTGTTGCGCGTCGAGCCACGTGTGTCTGTGTATTTCCACCACCAGCACGTGTCACGCGCCGTGCTTGCTTGTTCCACCCCCCAACTCCCATCCCATCATCATCATCATCATCATCATCATCATCATCATCATCATCATCATCATCATCATCATCTCATTATATCTTCTTCTTTGCTTCGCGCCTACCATACAAACCCGACCCTCCAAACACCCCTTGTGCCCAGGCGCAAAACGTTTCGGACACCATCACAGAGGCGTTTAGAATTGCGCAAGAGACGCGCATTGATCCGTTTGCACTCAATCGTGACACAACAGACACCTCGCCCGTCGTCACCGGCCTCTTCAAGGAGGTGCGTGCGTGTTGTGGGTTGTGCGTCGTATGTAGGTGTGTGTGTGTGTGCGTGTGTGCGTGTGTGCGTGTGTGCGTGTGTGTGTGTGCGTGTGTGTGTGTGTGTGCGTGTCTTGCTTCGTGCGTGTGTCTCAAATGGGCAAAGCTCGCTTGTCTGTCTCATGAACACACGTTGCTCGTGTCAACCCACCCATCCATTTATCCTGCACGTTGCCACGACCACCACGACCACGACCACGACGACGACGACCACCACCACCAGTCGCAACTGCCACGGGAGCAGCTGAAGGTGAAGATGATCATTGGTCACGGGCAATACGGAAAAGTCTTCCTCGCAGACCGCAAGCTACCCAGCGCCACTGGTAGCAGTGATGGCAGCGGCGATGGTGGGAGCGGTGGTGTACAGCAGGTTGCGGTCAAGCTGATGCGGCCGCACATTGCTGTCAAGGACATGATTGACTTCCTCGGCGAAGCAGCCATGATGATGAATTTTGACAACGAGTTCTGCCTGCAGGTGTGCGTGCGTGCGTGTGTGTGTGTGTGTGTGTGTGTGTGTGTGTGTGTGTGTGTGTGTGTGTGTGTGCGTGTGTGCGTGCGTGTGTGTGTGCGTGTATTGCACGTTTGCTGTTTTATTATTGCTCTTCTGTGTGCGTGGGTAATTTTTTTTTTTGTGACTGTGAGCGATTTGTGATGCTCGTGAGTATCATTGCCTACGCCCTCTCCTCCTCCTCCTCCTCCTCCTCCTCCTCCTCCTCCTCCTCCTCCTCACCGCGCTCTCCCCTTGTGACGAATGGACATGAATGTGCAGCTGGTGGGCACGTGCGTGAACAAGGCACCCTGGCTCATCGTCGTCGTCGTGGACTTTATGCAATACAAGGACCTCGGCACACTCATGCGCCAGTGCAACCGCGCTCAGGTTGGGAAGATGTGTGGGCGGGGTGTGTACGTATGCTGTGTTGTGTACCTGAATGCGTGCGTGTGCGTGTGTGTGTGTGTGTGTGTGCGTGTGTGCGTGTGTGTGCGTGTGTGCGTGTGCCTATGTGTATGTTGGTTTGTGTTTGTACCTGCATGTGCACCTGCTTGTGCTTGGAGCTTGCCTCTTCACTCACCTGCACTCCCTATGTGTGTATGTGTTGATACATGTGCGTGTGTGTGTGTACAGGTCCGCCTCCGCAGCCACGAGCAGTTGACCATCTTGCATCAGGTCTCTCGCGGCCTTACCTACCTCAGCAAGGTGACACACCCGCGGCTTGCTTGCGTGTGTGTGCATGTGTGTGCATGTGTGTGCATGTTTGCTGTTTTTCACGCGACTCATTCATGTCCACGCATCCCCATCCGCCATCAACTGCCGCCATCAGCACCGGTTTGTGCACAGGGACGTGGCAGCGCGCAACATTCTCCTCCACCACGACAATCAGGTCAAGATTGGCGACTTTGGACTCACGCGCAAGATCCCAGACGGACAGGTCCGCCGCGATGTTCTCTGTGTTTGTGTTGTGTGTGTGTGTGTGTGTGTGTGTGTGTGTGTGTGTGTGTGTGTGTGTGTGTGTGTGTGTGCGCGTGTGTGTGTGTGTGTGTGTGTGTGTGTGAGTGTGAGTAAGAGTGTGTGAGTGTGAGCGTTGTTCCAACCCCATCCCACCTCTCCTCTTACCACCCCTACCACCCCCGCCCCAACACCAATTCACAGAACCACTGGCGACTGGACAAAGCAGGTCGCCTGCCCGTCAAGCACATGGCCGTCGAATCCCTCACACTCAAGCGCTTCTCCTCCGCCTCCGACGTCTGGTCGTTCGGGTGCGTACCTCCCTGCCGCTTGTCGCCGCCGCTGTGTGAGTGAGTGTGAGTGAGTGAGTGAGTGTGAGTGTGTGTGTGTGTGCGGGCTGTGTGCGTGTGTGTGTGTGTGTGTGTGTGTGTGTGTGTTGTACTTTGACATTCATGATTGAGCCTTGCCCACTCGCCCCCCCCCTTCTAACACACACGCTCACACGCGCGCCACTGCTGCAGCGTGCTTGTGTGGGAGATACTTGCGTACGGGGCGCCGCCCTGGGAATCACAGGGCATTGCGACCAAGGACGTGCGCAAGGCGCTGCTTGCAGGCACGCGCCTCGAGAAACCAGAGGTGCGCACAGGCGTTTGAATGTTGCTGCAGTCACTGTTGTGGCTGTTGTGACAATTGTCATTGTTGTTGATTGTTGTTGATTGCTGTTGATTGTTTGATCAAGCACACGTGTTCTTCCTTGTGGGTTCTTGTTGTGTTCTGCGCTCAGCCCTCGCTCCATCCTGCACACACACAACACCACACGCAACCACATCCACAACACCACACGCAACCACATCCACAACGACAAGCATACACATACACACCGCACACAACGCTCACCCTGCACCTTGTCAAACCCCCCCCCCCCGCCACCCCTTCTCGTCACAGTTTGTTGCGTCTGATGAGTTTCCGACGCCGGAGGAGGAGGAACACGCACGTGACGTGTGGGATGACATGTACATCATCGCGGCGTCGTGCTGGGCGGCACAGCCGGAAGAAAGGCCCACCTTCCCAGACCTTCGCGACACCATTGCGCAAGTGCTGGACAACGAGCTCCTCTTCCACGGACCCGTGAGTCCCTGGCTGGCTGCGTGTGTGTGCGTGTGTGTGTGTGTGTGTGCGTGTGTGTGCATGTGTGCATGTGTGTGTGCGTGCATGCGAGCAAGCGTGCGTGCGTGTACGTCCTTTTCTCATCTTCATCGCACACACACTTACACACAACCACTCACACTCACACACTCACGCACACACACACACACACACACACACACACACACACACACACACACACACACACACACACACACTTACACACACTTCCACACCTCCACCCGCAGGCACGCCCCGTGCGTGATGTTGGCAAGACGTGCTTTGAGGCGCTTGAGCAGCTGAAGAAGCGACGCGGGAAAGCGGGCCGGCGTGGCAGGTCCATCATCAAGGGAACAACACCATCATCGTCAGCATCATCAGCAAAGGCAGCAAAGGCAACAGCGAGAAAGGCGGGGGGAAGAACCAGCGGTTCCACAGCACACAGTGCCAGCTCGGGCGACGAGCAGTAGTTGTGCCGTGTGACGCCATGCCATTTCTCTCTGTGTGTGTGTATGAATGTATGAATGTGTGTGAATGTATGTCTGTGTGTATGTATGTATGTATGAATGTGTGTGAATGTGTGTCTGTGTGTATGTATGTGTATGTATGTGTGTGTCTGTATTTTTGTTTGCGTATTTTTGTTTGTAGTTTTGTACGTGTGTGTGTTGGTGCATGCACATGTGTGTGCAGTCTGCGACGCTCTCATTGATCGCATCCATCCTTCACTGGTTGCTTTTCTTCTGCTTCGTTTCTCTGACTTGCCCATGCCCCTGTCTCCCTTGCTTCTTGCTTTCCCTTATCTTTTTCTTTCGTCCTGACCTTTTGAAGTGTGCCGGTGGCGTTGATGATTCTGCGACTGCGTGCTTCCCTTCTGCGATTGCGACGATGTGCATAACTGGCCTTGTAAAACATTGACGCGGCTGATCGTTTGTGCTTCCTGGCTTGACATGAACCAAGGATCGACACACACACACACATCCACTCAAACGTGTTTCATCCACACACATGCACACACATGCACACAACACACACAGACAGACAGCACAACACACGCACCACCACATGCACACCCATGCAACAACCCTGCAAGCACTCAAGCCAAGCACGTTTTTGAGTGTGAAGATACGTGTTTCCGTGCTTTCTTGCGTATCCGTTGCGCGCCACGATTTCTTCGATTCCCATAGACATTTCACGAACATCTTCACCCAATATTCGTCAATGACGCAATTTGGCGACTTGAGGGCATCACTCCCGCCCACTGCGAGCACTTCTGGTTTCGTCAACGGCGTGCAAAGTCTCCAACGAACGTCATCATGGAGACGTGGCCGTGCACTGTGCAAGCAACAACAACGCACACAACACAACAACACAACCACGTGTCCGGTTCGTGCAAGTGCGTGCAACCCAACTCAAGCTACCACCCACCCAACTAAACCCGGCCTTGCATCACGGTTCTTGCATCACCATCAATGGAGTCGGAGGTTAAGCCCCAAGCACCAAAGCAATGAGTGGTGGCAAGAAGAAGTAATGGTTGGTTGTGGAGCACTGATGATGGCCTGACGACGGTTGTCGGCCTTTCTCCTTTGTTGGCTTTTGTGTGTGCCTTGGTCTTGTTGTTCCCTTGATGTACTTACTTGGCTGAGTACTTGTATCGGTTGCCGGTGTTCAACGATCATTTTCTCATCGACTTCATCTCAAGCCAACAAGCAAGCAAGCAAGCAAGAAGGAATCCACCAAGCCCTCGGCTCGCCTCTTTGAACCTCACCTCACACCCCAAGAACACTCAAGATGGACGACAGCGCTATGAAGATCACCCAGGAGAGCTGGGCCATGGTTGAGCGGGAGATCCCCAACTGGACCGACATCTTCTATGACAAGATGTTCTCCGACCCCAACATTGCCAAGCTCTTTCCCTTCTCCGCCGGCGACTTCAAGACCAACGAGAAGTTCCAGACGCACACGCAGAAGGTCCGCGACACCATGCACACCGCCATGACCAGCATCCGCGAGTTTGAGAAGCTCGGCCCCGTCCTGAAGGTACGCAATCCGTGCATGCGTGTGTGTGCGTGTGCGTGTGCGTGCGTGTGTGTGTGTGTGTGTGTTTGTCTTTCTGTCTGTCTGTCTGTGTGGTTGTATGTGACGGACTCGCGCAGCGTCTCTGGACCGTTTGATGTCGCATTGCCCTTGTTGCTGTTCTCACCTCCGCTTCTGCACTCGCATCACCCGTCCACAGAAAATGGGCGAGCGTCATGCCGACTACGGTGTCATTCCCGAGCACTCTGTCAACTTCAAGGAGGCCTTCCTGCACACCCTCAAGACCGGCTACGGTGACAAGTGGAACGAGGACCTCGATGACGTGAGTCGCTCGTTGCATGCACGCGCACACAATCGCGTGACATAATAACGTGTTGTGATTTTATGGTGGTTTGATGACATCCCTTGCTGCGTCACCGCGTCGCACTTGCTTGGCTGCCTGATTCATGCTTTCCTCCTCACCTCACCTCACCCATGTCTTCAATTTTTGCAGGCGTGGAACCAGTGCGTGGATGCTCTGTTGGAGCCCTTTGAGGACGGCCTGAACGAAGCCCTCGCCGCCAAGAACCAGTAAACGGGTAGTCACACCCCCACCCGCCACGTTGTTCGCCTGCGGCTAATACCTGTTATTGCAGACTTGCAAGACACCCGTTTCGGGTGATAGCACACGAGGGAGGCACCTTTTCTTGTTCTCTCCTCCCTCTTTGTTGTCTTTTACGCTCTTCTTCGCTCTCGTCCTCTCTTCTTCTCCTTGATCCCTGCTGCTCCCCAGCGGTTCGTTCCTTTGCTACGTTTGCCACGTCGATGGGTTGCTCAACAAAAGGAACAGTAGTAAACGAATAGCCACACATCGACACACAAGCGAGATACATGTCGAATGCATGGGAGAGTCGTGTGTGGTTGCTGAGCGCAAGAAGGGAAGAATGCATATGTGGATGTTGTTGAGGGTCGTAATGTAATGTAACACAACGTGACTGCTTGATGGTGTGCTTGAGCTGTTTTATGGTGTGACAGGCGTGCTGTTGTCATTGCTGGGAACAAGCGCAAGCCTGCACAACGATCAAAAAGTGAAGGAGGGCGAACGCAGTGTCAAATGAAGCCAAGGCACGGCGTGGGCATCAAGCAGTTGAAGATCCTCCTCAGACAGTAACGCCTTTGGCGTTCACTAAAGTTTGGTGTGCGAAGGAATTGAAGGTAAAGTCACCGCACACGAAGCATTTGGTTGAGTTGCAGCGAGGATGAAAAAAAAAAAACGGGATGAGTGCACGTCGTGCCGGTGAGTTCCACAAAGCATCAAGCGCGCTACACACACACACACACACAACACATCACACACACACATCACACACATACACACACATCACACACATCACCCACATACACACACAACATCACACATACACATACACACACAACACCACGCAAACACAACACACATACACACACACACAAACACACACACAACGCTCACGCTGATCGATGTGATCCAGGATCTGACGCATGCGTGCCTTCCTCACCCGCCAGTCCTTGTGAGGTAAGCCCTCCCTTTGTCGCTCCTCCTCCTCCTCTGCGTCCTCGCTTGGCCTCCTTATCCTCCTTCGCCTACCCACAAGTCCAAGCAGCAGCCCCAACACACGACTCGCAGCGTCACAGCACACGTCCACCACCCACGACAGCATCCGCATCAACAACCAACCAGAAGGCACTGCCGCCGTTACTACAATACGTGCTGTCCTGAGCCGTCGTCGCAAAATTGAACAATATCGCGCATTCTTGGTGTTTCTTTCAAAGCTTGCCAGAAATTTCTCCGCCACTGTGTGTGCAGGCTGTTGCGGCTTCAACAACCACGTGTGTGTGTTGTTGTTGTCCTTTGTTCTCTCCTGTCACTTTCAGACACCACCCCCCACACTCACTCTCCACCCACAACTGCAGAATGTCAGCAAGAGCAACGACAGCGCTGGCCTTGGCGATCGCCATGGTGCTGCTTGCCAGCAGTGTTGTGATACATGCCCTTGGCGCCGAAAGCCGCTCCCCGCACGACGACGATGTCGCCATCAACGCAACCCAAGTCGCCTCGCTGGACTTTGGCGTCAGCGACATGGCCCTGGCGCTTGCCCACCCGCACCACGTCCACCACATCCATCACAACGGCACAGCAAACTCCAGCAGCTCTTCCACACTGGAGGCCCCCATCGCGTTCATCTCCGGCGGGTGCATTCAGCAGGAGTGGATCAACGCCTCATACCCGGGCTACTACTGCACATCGGTCCTGACCGAAGTCTACGCTTTCCTCGCCGCCGTCGGCAATGAGCGCATCATCAAGACATGGAGTGCACCCTCCAACCGCTACCGCCACGCCTCCGTCATTGTCGGTTCAAACCTCTTCCTTATCGGCGGCCGAAACTTCGACGACGGCATCGTCACAACCATGGACATCCTCGACTTCCACACAGGCATTTGGACCAGCGTTCCCAGCGACCTGGCCCTCTCAGACCACGCTGCTTTCGTCCTCAACGACACCATCTACGTTGTCGGAGGCTACGACGCCACGTACACTGCGCAGAGCAAGATGTACCAGCTGGTCAATTACACCGTCAACGGCACCACCTTTGCCGAGGTTGCTGGCGGAGACCTCACAGTCGCTCGTGGCGACTTGTCCGTGACGACTGTCAACTCCACCGTGTACGCCGTTGGAGGCTTCACGCACGCCAACAGCTTCACCGACCCGCTGCCCGTTGTTGAGTCGTGGTTGCCTGCGTCCGGGAAAGGCTGGAGACGCGAGCCTGATCTCCCCAGTGGTCGAGGCGACAAGGTGGCACTCAACTCGCACAATCACCTCGTTGTCATTGGCGGGGAAACTCGTCACCCCAACAACTCCGCGCACTCTGTGCCTGTGGATGACGTTGACGTGTTCAACCCACTCACAAGCCAGTGGACTCACCTCGGGCACGTGAGCTTCCCTCGATTCAGGTGCGACGCCTTGTGACCGTGATGTGAGAGTGTGTGTTCCTGAATGTTTGTGTATTTGTGTGTTCATGTGTGTGTGTGTACGTGTACGCGTGTGTGTACGTGTCTTTGTCCGTGTATCTATGTGTCTTTGTTCGTCTGTTTGTGCGTCATGCGATGCACTGTGTTCGTGTGCTGGCCAGCTTCGCTCGCTCACGCCGACCATCTTCGTTATCAGGTTTGCTGCTGCGTCCGTTGGGCACTATGTGTACCTGTTTGGTGGACAGGGCGAGCTGGTTGGCGAGCACGGCACCAACTGGTCGTACTACCCGACCCTCAACAGTATTGAGCGCTTCCACCTCCCACTCCCGCACCCGCACGCAGACGAGCCCCACGTTGGCACAACATCCATGCCAGTCAACGTGACAACAGCAGCCACAGCGTCCATGCCAGTCAATGTGACCACAACATCCATGTCAGTCAACCTGACAACAGCAGCCACAGCATCGATGCCAGTCAACGTGAGCACAACAGCCATGCCAGTCAACGTGACAACCACGTCGATGCCAGTCAACCTGACAACAGCAGCCACAGCATCGATGCCAGTCAACGTGACCACAACATCCATGCCAGTCAACGTGACAACCACCTCTATGCCAGTCAACCTGACAACAGCAGCCACAGCATCGATGCCAGTCAACGTGACCACAACATCCATGCCAGTCAACGTGAGCACAACAGCCATGCCAGTCAACGTGACAACCACGTCGATGCCAGTCAACCTGACAACAGCAGCCACAGCATCCATGCCAGTCAACGTGAGCACAACATCCATGCCAGTCAACGTGACAACCACGTCGATGCCAGTCAACCTGACAACAGCAGCCACAGCATCGATGCCAGTCAACGTGAGCACAACATCCATGCCAGTCAACGTGAGCACAACAGCCATGCCAGTCAACGTGACAACCACGTCGATGCCAGTCAACCTGACAACAGCGCCACAGCATCGATGCCAGTCAACGTGACCACAACATCCATGCCAGTCAACGTGAGCACAACATCCATGCCAGTCAACGTGACAACCACGTCGATGCCAGTCAACCTGACAACAGTAGCCACAGCATCGATGCCAGTCAACGTGAGCACAACATCCATGCCAATCAACGTGACAACCACCTCTATGCCAGTCAACCTGACAACAGCAGCCACAGCGTCAATGCCAGTCAACGTGAGCACAACATCCATGCCAGTCAGCGCGACCACCACCTCTGTCCATCCCCACTCCTCTCCTGCAACAACAATGCACCCTCCGTCATCCTCAGCAACAACAACAACTTCAACCACCACCACGACAACAACAACAACAACAACAACAACAACAACAACAACAACAACAACAACAACAACAACAACAACAACAACAACAACAACAACAACATCTTCGTCTACCTCCACCTCGACGTCCACATCCACCTCGACTGGCGCTGGGTCCTCGTTCCCGGCACAGTCATCCACCAACACGGCACCACCTGTATCTGGCAGCACAACACCAGCAGCCACGACGACAACAACGAGTGGGGGCCGTGGGTCGACTGCTGGTAGCGGGTCGAGCAAACCAAAGGGGTGGGAGGCAGCCGTTGGCGTGCTGGTTACGCTGCTGGTGGTCGTTGTTATCGGCGCGTATCTGTATGTGAAACGGAGTGCGAAGAGGGGCGGTGCTGATCAGGTCAACTACTCGTTTGACAACCCTTTGTACGAGGAAGACATCAACGTGTAACGGGCTGCCAGCGGGACCTGCCCTTCCCTGCTCCCTAATCGTGTGTGTGTGTGTGTGTGTGTGTGTGTTTCCATGTGCACCTGATGCCTTGTTGCCCCATTACCCATGGCTAGCAAACAAGCAGACTGCCACTGTCGCTGTGCGGTGCCTTGTTGCGTCTTGGCTTGCTTCCTCAGCTTTATCTTGCTTGTGCATTTGTCTGTTTCTCTGGTTTTGTTTGTTGTCCTGCATCAATCCACCTCCACCCTCTCCCACACACCTTCCCCCAAATATTGCTCGAGCGTCTGCTTTGCTCTGCCTGGGCACTTATTTGCCCACACCCGCTTCAGCTTTCTCCTCTTTCTCTCTCCTGCAGTTACGAACCGTTTCGAGCTTTAAACGACATCACGCCTCGGCTCACGTTGCCAACCATTCGCACACAAACACATGGCCAACTCGCACAAATTACTTGCTATGCCAAACACTCATGCACACACACACACACATGCACCACTGGGTTTGCTTATCGAAATATGTGACGCTGCTGGAGCAATCACACATACACACACACACACACACACACACACACACACACACACACACACACACACACACACACACACACACACACACACACACACACACACACACACACACACACACACACACACACTCACACACTCCTGCGCGCTGTGAGGGCGAGTGCATGAATTCATACATAACGAACGTAGAGGGGGTAATGCACCCACGCAGCTGGACGATGCCCCGATGCAGCGATGGAGCGCCTGCGTCACTCACGAGTCTCGCCATAGTGGCAGATCAGTCTGATGTCTGTGGAGACTGTGAGGACTGTGTCTGTATGT